GGCGGAAACCGCAGCCGCCTCGCGGATGAATCGAGCCCGAATTCATATTCACGAGCGACACGCGCGATTTAAGAATGTCAGGATTCATGCGAAATGCCCACGCGCGAATTTCGCGATCGCTGTCAGATCCTCGACGCAATCGTGACAGATTATCATAATGTCCGTCCGTCCATCCGAATTTCGCGATCGCTAAATGTTATCGCCTAGCCCTCCTCGTGTCGATAAAGATTACATGCGCTGTGCCTGCACCAAGATTTGTTATCTGAAATATTTACACGACGTGCGATAGGAATCGGTCGCGGGTGTGTTTAAACCGCGGCCGTAAAACGCGTCGGACGCAGCCAAATTATTCGCGATTTCTGGGAAACGCCGCGTCAACGCCGCGCCGATTATCTTCTTGGCGCGCGACAGACGGACTTCATTTATCTCCCGCGCGACTCCACATTCGCAGCAATTCGCCGACCAGACACATTCGCCGGCCGATAGCCAGCGGCATCTAAATATAATTCTAAATCGCAAATTGTTTACAAACAGCCCGAAGCCGCCCGGAATCGAGACTGTTACGGGCAACGACGTCGTGCCTCGTCGTTTTCTTTCTTTGTGAAATGAAATGAAATTTACAACAATCCCGAGGCTTCTTCCGTCGTTAAACGCACAGGTCGATCACGAAACGCAACTTCGTCGTCCCCGCGATAATTATGACGCAATAAAAACACTCCGTGCTCCCCGCGTGCGACATGAAAAACCAGTTTTTCCCACTCTCGGAGTCGACTCGCGTCGACTCTGGGCGGGAACGGATCCCGAAAAGTCAGCGTTAATTATCCGAGTTGCCATCGCGATTTACCTCCGGTCGCGATTCCGGTCCGCGCGTTTACGCGTCCGAGTGGCCGTGAAAACCGCCGCGCGGCGGTCTTTAGGTCAGGGTCGCCGTGAAAGGACCCACCTCCGAAAACCCGCCCCGTTTCCGCGCTCATCGCTGCGCTCCGCGCGCGATAACGAGGCGACAAGTTTTTCTAGCAACAAGTGTCGCTCGTCGACCCGGCCCGAGGAGGAATCGCGACGCGGGATTAAACTACGTCGTTGTTCTCCGGCGGAACGACCGCCCCGCGCGAGGCGCGTTCCCCATCGCCTCAACGTGGATACTGACCCGTCGTCGACACCAAAACGCGTGATCCTCCCTCGCCGAGGGCGGCGTTAAGAACCGCGCGGACTCGCGACGGTGGAGCACATTCATGCCCGCGAGAGAGTGACAATTAATTAGTCGCACCCCACAAACGCCACGACGAGCATTTAATCGAGCGCTCTCTCTCTCTCTCTCTCTCTCTCTCTCTCCTCCTCCCTCCCTCCCTCCCTCCCTCCCGTACGTAACCGTAACCGTCGAGAGAAAGAACTCTCGGAAAAAAATTTCACCGAGACGGATGAGGTGACAGGTGCGAATTAGAACTAACTCTTCGGGACGTTGACGTCTTCGGTAACGGTAACCACCGGGCCGGAAGATCCCGCCGGATTAGTCGCCGAGTCGGCGGGGATCTCCCTCGCGAGGACACACCACGAAGGCGGAAAATAGAAGGCGATCGCGGGATCGTCTTGGCGCGGCCGTCGTCGTCGGCTTCCTCGCTGCCCGACGCCAGTCTCAACTGGTAGCTCGTGCTCAACTGGATCGCACCGTCCAGACCGGCGCCCGACGACGGCTCACGCGTCGAGGCTCGCGACACATTGTGTGTATAAAATTTACGGCGCATCGCTTATGTGCGCGCACAACGGCGCGACGCGCGGACGCGAACGCCTCGTCGAACGCTCCTCGCCGACGCCTTCATTACCCCCCCCCCTCCTCCTCCCCATGAGCGAATTAATCAAACCCGCGCGTCTCTCGGATTTTAAGTGTCCCCTCGAGTGAAGAGGAAAAGAAGAACTCGAATGAGAAAAGGAGCGCCGTCCGGGGAAGGCGACGTCGCCAGTTCGCGCATCCGGATCACGATGTTCACGCGGAATGTACGCGTAGCAATCTGTCTCGGCAACCATTGCGTGCGAGATAAGGACGTCGATAAACTGCTTAAATATGTACTTAACGCATGCAACGGGAAAGGTGAGAGTAAACGGGAGAAGCGAGAAGAGGGAGGACTGTGAGGCTCGAAACGATCGCAAAGTGGCACCAGTCTCGGTAATACTGTATAACGAATTCTCTTTTTTTTTTACGATTAATTACCACTGGGGAGAATAAACGAGCTAAAGATAATATTTATCTCACGCTCGTCTGAACGATTAATCTTCCCTACGTGATCAAAATAATTTTAATGGATGCTGCCCGAGAGAGGATCTTCTTGGAAACGAACGCAAATCGTCGACTATACGTATCTACGTTTTAACATTGCAATATCAATCATCCTATAAATTATCAATCTCTTCGGGAAGAGAGACGAGAAAGGATACCGAGAGAGACAGGGAGAAGAGACGTTGTTGCAGCCTCGTAGATAAATTACCAACGCGCGGTATTCTATGAATTCAGCAAAGTGCACTCTGACTTATCGTTGGCAGAAGCTTCCCTTATCGACGCTCCTAATCTGAAATTCTATCTCGTGCTACGTGTTAGATAAAACAGATCGCGACAAACGCAATTTATTTACAACTGTCTATAAGTTTAACACGGAATACTATCATACACGCAAGTAAGAGAAGAACTCGTTCGTCATAATTGTTGTTAACTTCTCGCGCAGTTCATCTTTCTTTCTTTTCTCTCTTCTGTTGGAGGAAAAAAACATAAAAGATGAACCGTGCAAGAAGTTCAGCTGACAAGAACAAATCTAAGAACGGACGCAGGCGGGACAATGCGCAGCGATTGAAAAGGCTTGAGAAGAATTCAAAGCGCAAAGATGAAAGGCTCGCCGATTAATAATGAGGAAGAGGAAACTTCCCCCGCCTCGCGAATTGACATTTCTCACACAATACACTGCAGCTTTTGCGACATGCTCATGTTTTTTGCAAAATCTATATAATTCGATGGCGATAACGCTTCGTCAATGCCGAGGCTCCACTTACTCCCCGTGCATCCCTGAAGAGTATGGCAGCGTGAACCGGATCCAGGCAAGCATCAGACGCTCTGTGAGGTATCGCGGGTGCCCCGAGGGATAATCTCCGTGCCGTAGGATCCAATGAACTTCTCCTGTGCGCACCTGAAACAAGCGGATTGTATGTAGCCGATTACATAGAAGAAAATAAACTTTAAAAAAAAAAAAAAAACAATTGATATATGCAAACGATCAGTTGATTTTTCTTGTGATCCTGCATAAAAAATGAATTGCGCCAAGGTCATTGAAAAATGAACATTTTTATACCTCAGGTATTACATCGAGGTAATTAAATATGTGATTTTTTGCAAAATATTTATTTTTCGATGACCTTTGTTTAATAATTTTACATGCAGAATGATGAGAAGATCGATCTGCGAAGAAAAAAATATGTGTAATTTCCTGTAAAAAGAAAAATACGTGGAAAAGAGGAAAGCAGTTTTCTTGTGAAGTAAAGATGTTTTTTCAACCTTGATTAGACTGATCGAGTATACTACTTGTCACGTTTAATTCAATCAAACCTGATCAATTATACCACGTGTTTTCCATCATAGCTAATAGTTATAACGATTGCAATTAGTTCAATCGTGTTGAGTTTCGGTCCTGCAATAGTCTGTGTAACATTAGACAATTCATCGACAGATGAGCGCGAAATTCGTCATCGTGGTTATTACATAAAACGTGACTCGTTATTTACATTCCCACTGTGTCCGTAAAGAAATACGATCAAGTCTACGCCTGACTCATGGTTATGTTTTTTACTGATGGAAAGAATCAAATAGCATAAGCCATTTCCTTTTGAAATTCGTACGACTCAATAAGATTGAAGATTTTTATGCAATTATTATTCATATCTGCTCTTTCGAATAATTTCTCATATCGCGGAAAATTATATAATATATCTGTTTATGATAAATGCAAATATATTATATTAGTGTGCAGAAGCAAGTGGTTGGGACAATCATTTATGTAAATGAGAATTATTTGCATTTCTTGTAATGAAAAAAAAAAAAAAAGTTTAGTGAGAACTCTCTGTTATGTAATTAATGCTTATCAAGACGTTTCGAGTCTATAATAAAACTACTATATGAGAATTAGGTAAACAAAATTTTTGTTTCTCACGAGGATATCGCTCATTTTTCTACAAAGTGTTAACCACCTGAAGAAACACACGGACTTGGACTTCAGCCAATACATTTGCCAATGAACGATTATTAAAACCGACGCGTCGCTTCTGATAAACGTTCGACACGCACGTATCGCTTGGCGAAACAAGATCGAAATCGGAGCTACTGACCGCCTCGGAGGGACGCAATTGGCCTCGGCCTCGGACCCGCGTCTTGGAATTTTGTTTTTCTCTCGGCGAAGGCCGTTTGCGCACGTTTCTACGATTAAATCCGCTTCCTCAGCGCGAGACGTCCGAGCGATATCCCGCTTTATCGGCGGTGTTTATTTCACGAGCCTCGCGATACGCGCGCGATACTCGCGTGAGAAACGAAGCGGATATTGGCCAGATGCGCTCGTAAACACAGTTCGAACGCGTCGCGACGAGACGCAGCGGCGTGCGAGAAAGAATTAGTCCGCTAATTGGCAGGTTCTTCGGTTTCCTTCACCGGTGAAAAAAAAAAAATAAATAAACGACAGAACAAACGCTCGCGTTCATTCCGCTCGTGAAAAATTCTTGAAAGATTAATTAGCAATGATAAAAAAAAAAAAACTCATCACTATCGCGCAGTTCTAAAAGAAAATGCGGTGAACGTCGATTTCTGAGAATTTCCGTATCGTTATTTCGATTTAAATCAATCTACGAGAATTCCTGAAAAGAGAAAATGATTCTTAGAAAGATGTCCAGTTTTTCTTTTTATTAATACGAGCGAAGGAAACGACTGGTAATGAGTTGTACGGCTCTCGTCACAATCGTCATATGCGGTAATATAACATGGTCGGGTCAAGGCAAGCTAAGGCAAGCATCAATAATCACCGAGCTTTATGAAGACTGAGCTTGCGGGATGAAGCGAATCGGTAACCGTGCACAGAAATAGAATCGTTCCGAGATCGCGAGAAAACGCGATAAAGATGGTAATCGAGGAGGGACGGGGGGAGGGGGGGGAGAGGGATAAGAGAGAAAAATTAGACGATGATGCAAATGCGCCGACGAGAAAAATATGCATACATTTTTTTAAAATATATTTACATTTAATAAATGCTCGCTTCGAGCATGTCGCGTTTACATAAAGACGCAAAAAAGTCCATCAGAGTGAGATTCATAAATCCTCTCTAATTGAGATCTCGTAGAGATCTCTTTAATACTCGCTCTAAGAGCATAATACTGCGGTAGAACTGAAATTGCAAGAATAACCAAGCATCGCATTCTAAGTGCGCTGCCGTTTAATGAAATCCCATTATTCGTCCATAATGAAACGGGCTAATGATGGGATTTCATTAAATATTCGTGCGTATATACACATTTCACCGTTTGCCGTTATTTACGACGTTTGCGTATATCACGTCTAAACTGGTATCCGTATAAACTGGCGTACTCGTGGGAGCATGCACGTAACAGAGAAACGATATTGTACGCGGACCGTCAATTTAGCGACACGCGAGAGAAATTTCCGCACGCGCCCGTAGCCGGTACGAAAACATATTGCGTAACCAAACGCAGCCGGAAAATCGAAATAGTACGTCTGCTCGAGAAAGAGAGAGATACATCATTATTTAATTACAATTATATTCGTGATTCCTGTTCCTTAAACGAATAAAATAAAAATTTACATTTCAATCTGCATTGAAGCTCTCTTCTCTCTTGGTTTAACGTTAAAAGCGATCATCTTAATAAATAATTGCATTCAAGGAAGCTTTATACAAATCGTCACATGTACTCGTCACTGAAGATGGCTCGAAGTAAAGGCTGAAAAATTTGATTTAATTTTTACATCCGTAAATCTCTAAAAAATGTGTGCATTTCTTACCACGTGGATTCTCAGTTGTCCTATATTTATTGTGTCCTATATTTATCGAAAATCTTTTTTATTAATTAATAGCTAAATCGTCACACAAGAATATTTCATAATTCTTCCTGTATATAAAATAATTACACTTATTATGCACATAGGCACTGAGTACATCGCGAGGAAATGATGCGCTTCACCGGAGATTCAACGGCGCCGACGACGCGTTCGTCGTCAACGGAATTCGGTCGCGTTCGCTCGCGTTACCTTGCCTGAGTATGCTTTCGTAGATCCTGTAAGTAGTCTCGCAATCGGCCTCGTGGAGGTTGCCAACGGGGTGATGCCTGGCGCCGCCGTCCAGACTCTGGCTCCGGTTCCTGAAGTCCTCCCCCCGTTTCTTCGGGCTCTCGTGGCTCTCGCTCTGTCGTCTGATGTGTCCCAATCGCCTACCGAAATGCCGTATCATCTCCTGTATGCTGTGATGATGATGATGCTGCTTCTCGTGTTCGTTGGTCGGGCTGGGTGACGTCGGCGACGCTTTGCCGGTGCTCGCCGCGCGATGATGATATTGCTGATGATAGTAGTGATGGTGATGGTGAAGCGGATGGTGATGGATGTTACCGTGGATCGTGTGATACACGGACGGCTGATGGTTGGACGAGTTGGAGCCATAGGACGAGCCGTAGGACGACGAGCCGTAAGAATACGCGGAGCTGACCGAGCTGCGCGACATGTGTCGCGATTCGTGCAGATAAAGCCTGCCGCTGTTGTGCTCCTGCTGCTGCTTCTGGTTCAGCAGCTCCTGCAGGAACCTCGTGTCCTGACTCCGGATGTCCGACGCCGCGGAGGAGGAGGAGATGGAGCTTCTGGTGTCGCCGCCATTGTCGGTGTCGTGATGATGGTGGGACAATAGGTGGCTTATTCCGTGCATTTCACGTGACGGACAATGTGCGTGTATCAACGCGAACAATGACTCTGATATCTCTCCCGTCGTCGCGGAAGCGGCCGCTCAAGTTCCACAGCCGTTCATCGACGTCGCGGAATCTGCGGAGGAAACGGCGACGGCGTCAAAGGCGTAATTCCGCGGCGGAGAAACGCGACCGCCGCGTTATTTCGCGCGAAACGCCGCGCGAAATGCCGGGGATGGAAAGAGATAGACGACGAACGACGCCTCGCCGTTTTCACCAATCGTCTTCCTCGGTAATCTGACGCGAAATTAACGATTCATGCATTTACGAGTGTATGTGTCACGATCGTTTCCTGTTTCCGCACTCCGATGTAAGCGAATCTTCGATTTTAAATTCAACAAGCCGTTCGAAAGAATGAAACATACGCTGCATTGAATGAAGTAGACAATATGCACTGCACGTTTGAGTAATTAATATTGAAATTCTCATTTGAAATTTTCTTTTCACTTGATAATATTACACGACGTCTGTTTGTTACACGAAGGCGAGAGAAAAAATATTTGCGCATCCCATTTTTCTTCCGGATTTGCTTTGTACAAAAAAAAAAATCGCTGCAAACTGCTGTATTATTCGACGTCAAATGTATCGACTCTGAAATCACGCAATAATATTTTTGTGTTTGCATGTAAAATTGTTGAAAAAAATATGAGTGTAAAAGAACACATTTCTATTATCCACCGCGTATGAGTTCACTCGCGAGGCTTAATATCGTTGATTTTATATGCTAATGATTCTATCTGCGCGTCGAAAATTTCAGGAGGGAAACTGGCCGTGTATTACGTCAGTCGAACCGAGAGAATGACAGGAAGAAACAGAAGTCACGTCCGATGCCAATTAAATTCTGGCAGAGCGCGAAGGAATAAACTTTTAATAAACTCCACGGAGACCCGAATTCTCGGCGAGTATTTTCGATGAGCGATATTTAGATCTTTATTCGATGTCAAAACATCTCGGAAATGCAACATTCGCGATAAAAAAATAATTCGAATGTAACGATCACCGTCGTAATGATGCAAACTTTACGAGCTTTCCTATTTCTCTCGTTTATGACTCAATCTGATCGTGTCATCGATAATTGCGCAGATCGATATACGAACGAGGGAGACAACGGAACGTTCTCAAATTCGCCGAAGCAAAGTCGAACGATTTGCGGCAACGGGCGAGTGCGCGACAGAAGAAAATTAGG